GTGGAGCGCAGACAGAATTCGGCAATTTTTATTGATAAGTTTCTATTAAAGTAGGACCATTAACCTCTAGGCAGTATTTTTAACCCTTGAAAGGAGATATCAAGAGTTGCATCTCCCAGAAAACTATGGTGGGCAATAAAATTAATGGCATATAATTTTGACATTGAGTACATAAAAGGAAATACAATACCACATGCCGATGCGCTATCAAGGTTACAATGAAATAAGGATAAAAAAGATATAGTTGAAATCCCGGATGAAGAAATATTACAATGGGTTAAAACAGACATATCTACAAAGAATGAGATTGGAAACTGCGCATGATCGGATATTAAGGAAGATTGCTGAGAGAATAAGACGAAATTGGTGGAATAATTGTTCTATGTTAACAGGCATAAATTAACGATGGCAATCAGCGTTATATGGAATGGAGATATATTACCACCAGAAACAGTAATTTATAATATTTTTAAAAACTGTACATGATGAGGTTCATTGTGGGATAAGAGCTACAGAGAGGAGATTAAAATTGAGGCATGGTGGTCGGAGTAATTTCGCGTCATAGAAATTTATGTACAAAATATACAGAAATAAAGACTTTTCAACAAAAGAAAATACACACATGGCCTAAAGAAACAAAACCATAGTCTCATGTTCATATGGACGATGCACATATTAATGGCATAGGACTATTTCTAATTTTAATAGATTCCTTTTCTGGACTGTGTGAATTTGTTAAATATAGAAAAACGACTACATTAAAGCAAATATTAAGAGTGATATTTACTAGAAATGGGGTTCCTGAAACATTGGAATCAGTCAACGTACAAGAATTTTGTGATGAATATTTATGTAATTGGTTGAGGCTTATTCCTTTAAAAAATCATACCAGCCAAAATCTAATACGATTGCAGAAAGATTAATGCAGACAGTAAAAATGGGATTGAAGGCATTGTCCTCAATAGAGATACTTACCAAAGTTACTACTGAATTCTGAGACTATTTCACATGCAAACAGACAGAAAATCCTATCTACATAAATGGGAAAACAAATGAGATGTCCATTAACAATGTCTTACTCAAAAAATGAAAGGATGTGGTATAAAAAGGGTAAAGTAGCAAGTGTTGTGAATGCGAATATCATCATGCGAAGGGAACATAATGCAAACATTTTATCAAAAAAAGGGGAAAAAACCTTCTGAACAAATAAGTGACAGAATTAAAAAGGGAGATGTGATGAAGATAGATATTAACAAAGAAAGGATGAGTTCTTCAGATCACTAAAAAAGTAATAGAAGACGAACCTGTGAATGATAGCGAGAGTGATTCGACAGAAGATAAAATGAGACGAAGATCTCCATTAAAAAGAACAGGACGTTAAACTCAACGCGCATAGTTAGAAAGAGTTTGAAGAACAATAGGCATTAAACCTCTTCGGTTCACAGAGGTGTAGTAGGATTTGCAATTAGTATATGTTGGTTATAGGAGAAGTAAAGTGTAGTGTAATGAGTCAGACGACTGGAAGTTGACTATTGATCACGTGTCGTATAATAACACGATACAACGGTTATGATTATTTTATGATAATTATTTTTGACAGTATAATTTATTTTTATTTATTTTAATCTATATGACAAATACAATTTTATTTTCGGAGAATCCTAAGGTCCAGTTTATGATGAGTAGTTGTACTGAATAACCTGCATTATCTCGTATTTTTATATACGAAACTTGGGTTACGCTGGCAGTTCAAAACCTGCTTACACTGCATGTGGCTCTCAAGCAATCATACGCTGAATTCTCTTTCTTGCTATTTTTAAAGTTACTTTTTTTTCGCACTTTTTGTTTCTCTCCCTCCCATTCTAGACAGATTTCACGCAATATTTAGAGCTTCCACATTCCTATCTTACTGTTCATCCCACCAGCCAAATATAATATGTATGACTGTGCTAAGACTATATCCGAATTACTATCAGTTTTCTAATTAATGTTAATCTTGTCTGCGATCTGAAATCGACTGTCTTTCAGTGGTGTTATTGACTTTCAAGTCAGAAGTGGTCCAAAGTCACAGCTGGATTTTAGGCGACAGAACGGGCTTGAGTGGTGCAAAGTTTTGCTTGAACTCCTCAAATGAGATGCAAAGAATAAGCAGTCAACGTTTTCAAAATGGTTGAATACTTTTAGGCAGGTCGTCGAATACCAAAACATTCTTGTAATTCCCTCAAGTCAATCACCAGTTTCCTCTGATTGCAACCTGCACACGTTCAACATTTTTCGGTATGTTATTCGTTTAAGACCTTTCAGAATATAGATATTTCAGTGACTTCATGGCTAATTTTGAAGCCTTTACACTAATGCCTTATGATTTATATATATTGAATCCTCCCTGAAAAACTTTCGAATATGTCCCGCTTGGAATACAACAGCCACACATTACATCACGCATAGAGCGTCTTCTTACAGATTGAGAAACTCAGGAAACTTTATACTCGCTAATGCTCAGAAAAGATGCCATTCACTTTTTGTTAAGTTGATTTTTAGATGCACAACCGTTCACAAAATAATTGGATACTTTCCGAAACAGATATCATAAGTGAACTCTTCATTTAATTCATTGTATAATATTTGTTTCATTTAAAGTCTAGCGAATTTCTTAGAGGAAGCATTGTAGTTATTATTAATTTTTAATACTTTTTTATCATCTAAATTTTGTTGTTTTTTATCTCGTCTGATATTCATTCTTTATTCCTGAGACATGCTATTTATTTAAGACTCGAAGAACGTAACATGTAAAATGACCTGAAAGTTAGAATTGAAAAAAATGATGAAAATAAAATAATGTCAAAAAACAAATATTAGTTATCCTATCTATTATTTAATTTTATTTCAGAAGAAAAACTTTCTGTTTGACAGATTCTATTAAATCTCATGGATCGGCCATTTTTGTGTCTCTAAAAATGCACGCGTGATTCCTGTGGAGTTGACGTCAGAAGACAGACGTCTGGGTAACCTTTTCGAGCTAAAGCTCATGACTGTCTTAAACTTTATTCAAGTTTTATTCACTTTTATAACAAACTATTTGGTACTTTATTTATTGTATTTATTTCTTAATACTTTTTTCTAAATGTTTCAGCTCTCCCCACTCTAGAAACAGCTGCGTGATTGTATAAATTTACTTGGTTCTTTTTTCTTTTTCTTTTTTTTAGCAAATGTGTTAGAACTCTTTTTTTTAATTTTTTTTTTATTTTTGTTGCCTATTCCGAGGCCCCAATGTCAGTGGATATGCACAAATCTTAGTGTGTAAATATGTGCGTAGATGTTCTCCGACATTTTGGATTTTATCTTAATACTTTGGTGTTATTGTCCGTGTTACTGATTTTATACAAGTATGAGTGTATGTTTTAGGGAAAAATAAAACCGCATGCGTTTTATTTATACACACACAAATGTGCATACACACACATATATGTGTATGTGTGCGTGTGTGAATATATCAATAGCTTTACGTCCTCTGTAAATTTGTTACGTTTTTATCTAAAGTATGCACTGCCTTATGTCTGACGATGTAATTAATATCCACTAAATTAGGTGTTTTGTCAAGGAACGAGATTGTATTCTAAAATAAAACGTTTTAATACAAAATAAATGCTTACTTTATCATTACGTTGAGAACAAAATGATATATCTAGTTTATAAATAGTTTTAGGTATAAATCCTTTATTAATACATGTTTGATTAAAGCATTTTTTTTCATTTATTTATTGATTTTTTTCATGCTCACTATGGATGAATTGAATACATTCGAAACAACTCCCTGGGGCGCTTTCGATTTATAGTTTAGTCATTATCTAGATACAAGATCTTAATATTCGTTGACAAATATTGTGATTATTTGTGCATATTTAATTTTTGATTTGTTTATTGTGCGTTATGTTGAAATTAAATTTAAGACATGTCTACCAGTAGCCCAGGCTGCTGGGCGCTTTTATTGAGTCATCAACTTTACAAGACGATGGGTCGGGGGTTTTGGAGTGACCATCTGGTAAACCAAATCTAGAGAACGCTGTCTGCCCTACTATTTAACACATATCTTGATAGAAAAGAGGGGCTCATACTTTTCTAAGGGTATATTTGTGAATGAGAACAACACAGACCTACTGAACTTTGAAATTGGCATGACGCTCATAACAGCAACTCTACACACCCGTCACTTTATATATATATATATATATATATTGTATATATATATAGATGTTTTGAACAGTCAAAAATATTGACAAATTGAAAAATTAAAATTTTCAGACACATTGGGTTGTATATTAATAATTTTGTTTCATTATTTTAATTAGATTCCTCGATGTGTTTCGGCCAGCATGGCCATCATCAGGAGAAAAAAACATTCTGCTTGTTAGTAGCAGTGAACTACAGAATTGAATGACTTTCTGAAGAAAATGAACTTTATCTGTAGTTTTCATTTGTTTTTTATCGTTAATTTTGGTCAGTCTTTTTGTTGGTCAAACGGCCTCTTTAACATTATATATATATATATATATATATATATATATATATATATATATATGTGTGTGTGTGTGTGTGTGTGTGTGTGTGTGTGTGTGCGCGCGTATGTTTGTATATTTGTATGCGTGTGTGTGAAATTACTGCGTATAGGTGTATGTAAATTTATGCGCTGTATATAAGTGTACATATGGTGTACAGGTAAATGCGCAAATTTAATACATTGTTTGTGTGTGTGTTTGTGTGTGTGTGTGAGAGAGAGAGAGAGACGCTGTGTACTCCATTGTACATGTTAATATGAATTTACTACGCTGGTTTCTACATGTACGTATGTTCGTGTGCAATTATATATTGGTAAATGCGTGAAATTATTACACTTCATGTTTGCGTGAATTTACTGCATTGTATGTGTGTGAATTTACTACGCTCTGTGTGTGTGCGCGCGACTGTGAATTTGCTATACTGTATGTATACTTGGCAAAGGCATGCATGAAGTGTTTCTGGCTGTCCATGTGAGACGAGGGAAATGTCTCGAGATGCACGTTGTGCCCGCGCCATCATCCACTTGTCCAAACGTCGACAACTGGAGCCGAGTGAGCATGACAGGTGAATCTCTCAGGTAGCGCACGTGTTACTCAGACATCCACCCACCCATTGCCAAACATCTGTCGATCTACCAGAGAGGAAAAGGAAAGAACGCTTGGTAGAATTACATGTTTTATTCTCTCTACAACAAGTTCTCCCATTGAGAAAGTTTCAAAGTTACATAAAAGACAGCGTGAAATAAAGTCAGATAAAAGAGATGCCGGCAGAAAGGCTCGACATGAGAACGCAGGATCATCATAACACCATAGGTTGCCAAACGCGTCAAGAAGTCGTACATAAAAGACGATGTCTCGTTGTATGGAATGTGAGTTCGAGTTTTGCCTGGAGTTGACTGTTCATTTTCTATTTCCTCAGGTTTACTTGAAATACGAGAATTCTGTAAGATGTAACAAGAAATCGATAAAGAATATTAACAAAAATATATGTTAAAAGTTGTTTTTTTTTCTATGAAAGACATTAATCCACTTTTCTCTGTTTCATCACTTGTTTCTTTGGTAATATACATTTCAATTTCACGCTACAAAATAGTGAGAGTTAACATCTCTCGTATATCTATTCCTTGAGGCTGAGGAAGATGAAAACTGTTACACACATTGTAACTCTCATTTTCAATCTAAACAAAATGCATACGCATATCTATCTATCTATCTATCTATCTATCTATCTATCTATCTATCTATCTATTTATCTATCTATTATCTATCTATCTATCTATCTCATTCTGTTTATTTATCTATCTATCTATCTATCTCAGTCTGTTTTATCTATCTGATTCTGTTTATCTATCTATCTATCTATCTATCTATCTATCTATCTGTCTGTTTAGCTAGCTATCTCATTCTGTTTATCTATCTATCTATCTATCTATCTATCTATCTCATTCTGTTTATTTATCTATCTATCTATATATCTATCTCAGTCTGTTTTTATCTATCTGATTCTGTTTATCTATCTCTCTATCTATCTATCTATCTCATTTTGTTTATATATCTATCTCTCTTTCTCTCTCTCTCTATATATATATATATATATATATATATATATATATATATATATATATATATAAAGGAAAACGATAATAGGAAAACAATACTATTACCCGACTCGTTTCGTCCAATGTGGATTTTTCGAGACAAAAAACGAAATGAATTTATTGAAACAAAGTATCTATAAACATAGTGTATGTATCGCTAGCAACTAGAAGAATTTCGAAAAGCTATTGTGTATTAACATGGGCAAATGGCAGAGTCGTTAGAACGTTCGCATTCTGACCTGGGGTTCGAATCTGGTCATGATCGATTTGTTAGGAAGGAGACTTCTTGATGTTATCGGAGTTGATCACAGTCTGTGGCACATTTGGAAAGTGCCTGAAAATCATACCACATGTCAACTCAAGCCTTGTGGATGAAATTGGATAGACGGAACCCTTGGGTGCCGCCGATAGCTGTGCTAGCACGAAGTCACAATTTATCGATCCCGAAGGCTTGAGCGTGCTGCCCCTGTTCGATCACGCTCTTTCCCAGATAATGTAACTAAGATCAGCATATCTGCAGTATAAACCACCAGTGGGCTCTGTGCGTGTTGAATAAACACAAGTGCGCCTGAGCAAGCGTCTGCAATAGGGATTGGCTAGCTGCCCTAGTAGACAGATATTCTCGAATACGAGTGGCCAGATATACATATTCATATTATTACGCTTAGCGTTATTTTTAGATCATACTTGTGTTTTTAGTAAACACGCTGTTTCCTAAAACAGTGTGAATTTAGTGCACATTTGAAGGATTTATTTAAGTAAATGTGCTCTCTGTTAGGGTTCGAACCTGCATCCACCCTTTGTACATGAGTATCATTATGAATCTTAATTATGCTGTCTGATGTAGATTCTATCAGAGTGTAAAAGTTCTGCTGATTGTTATTGTGTTTTTGTTGTTTTTTTTTTCCAGATAACTGTCATGCTGTCTGTCGTGAAAGAGAGTAGAGATGTTATATTGAATTGCTTTATATAGAAAAGCGCACACATTAACGCTATCAGAAGCCAGATAATGTTTTACGGAGACCAAACAATGGATATGAACAAAAGCGTTTGAATATGTGCAACAAGCTACATTCCGGGCGGCTATGAACAGTTTTCAACCAACGAATTGAAGAGTACGTGAAAGTTCATAGACAAAGGTGATGCCTATATGGTAAAATATTTTCATTGTATGTTACTCTAACCACCTATCTGTATCCGTTGTAGTATCTACGGAATTAAATAGAAAGCGATACTTGGAGTTTCAATAGTATAGTGGGAAGAGGAATAAATACATGAAATGCTGGGCTACGTCCTCTAGGAGTAAAGCAGAAAAAGCGTGACACAGTGACACACTGACATAGAAATACAAAAATATAATTATATAACTCCCATAAATCAAATTTTCGTACACTTATAATAATACTTTTTAAACTTCAAATAAAAGTCTTAAAAGCTATATGGAAATATTGAGAATTAAAAAAATATATATCTTCTAGAATGCTCTTGCATGTTTCCTGTTCTAGTAACCATTTTTTGTTTTCTATTAATGCATGTAGTTTGAAACGATGGTAAAGGCGGAACAATTCTCTCTACCGAATTTAAGAATGGTCATAAGGCGGAAGCATGAAGGATTGCATTACAAAGACATTTTAAAGTGGTTACATACCCCATTTAGTAAAATAGGCTCTTGCTTTAACATGGAAGAAGACGGAAATGACTCACAAAATTCACCAAACTGATGCTTCTTGAAAATTTTCCTCGCACAACTACGAGAAATATGGTACGGATTATCAGAAAAAGATCTTATGACAACTTACAAGGAGACTGAATCAATTACTAAGTATGCTGCTAGGAAACTTGGTTTTCTGTGTTCTGCCAGATAGTTCTTAGCATCAGAATCCATTTTGAAGTTCTATGGTTTGGTTTGCTTTGTTTTATGGCATATCAACCTCAGTGGGTTATTTAATACCTACAAGATTTTATTACCGGTAATATTTTTTCCCAAAAATGTATTGCTGGTAATATTTTTTTTTGTTTTTCCTTTAAAGGGTAATAATTTATTGCTGGTAATAATTATTTACAAAAGTCTATTTGCTGATAATATTTTTTCCTGAAAAATATATTGTAGGTAATGATGTATTTCTGGTAATAATTTTTTCCTCAAAAAATTTATTGCTGATATTAAAACCTATTTTTACACTTTCATAGTATTTATTTAGTTATTTGCTCATAGTTGGGACTCTAACAGATGCTTCCACCCCGGCTCAGGGTGGACCTGGGAATACCAGCAATTAAGAGGTGACCCCGCGCTCCTAAACTCGATAAGAGGCCTTGCTGTTGGACGTAGTTTATCGTCTTACCCAAGAAGCGAAGGTAGTTTATCGTCATACCCAGTACAGTTGAAGTTTTATAAATCTACCATTCTTCCTTTCATTGAATATTACTTCCATATCTGGTCTGGCGCTCCTGTACTACATACGTTCTTGACAAAATTCAAGGACGTGTCTGTAATGTAATCGATCCTGATCTGACATCTCGATTTTGGCCAATCTCTCACCGACGTGACGAGGTTATCTCTATCCTTTAAACTAATATTTTCATTGCAATTATTCTGATGAGTTTTTTTTCTTTAGTGCTTAGAATACAATGGTGCTACTAGATTGGCAACTAGTTCTCATCATTTTACGGTTAAACTAGCCAGATGCAACCGTCAGTTCTATACTAATAGTTTATTTTCTCGCAATTCTCGCCAGTGGAAATCCCTTCAGATTTCTTACTTCGATGCCACATAATCTTCAAAACTTTAAAGGCAACACCAATCAATTGCATTCTCTCGTCTTCCTGAATTCTTTTCTTTTTTTGTCATTTTCCTCCCTTCTCCTCATTAAAGCTTTATCATTCTCTTTCACTCCCTGTAATCCCATGAGTCCTACTGGTATTGTCACCTTCACTGGCGTGAAAGAAAGAATGGCTATAGGAGCTTTTATTACTAAATGCCTTATCAGCAATGAACTAAACCGTCATAGCCTTCCAAGGAAGACTAGAGAAAATAGAGACGCTCGACTGAAATTCTCTCGCGAGTATCTAAATGTCTAAATTTGGGTCGTATGATACTTGTCAGGTGTGGAGAGGACGAATGCCGTTATACTCAGAAGAACACAATCCCTCGTTTAAAGTTCAGTGGCGAAAGCATCATGCTATTGTATGCTTTTCTTCTAAAAGTACTGCAGCAATTCATGTCATAAAAGGTACTATGATTGGAGGGCTGTATTTTAGAATAAAATTAATTTGCATCTGATCTTCATTTGGTGAAGAATGGTGCTCCAAACAAGAAAAAGGATCCTAAATATATTGCTAAACTTACTAGGGAATGATTCTAAAATATGAAATTACCGAACCAAGTTGATAATTTGTGGTGAAGCACTAAGATTTAAATTCATTTGACGAGCCCAAGAACCATCGATAAATTAAAGGTACACTTCTAAAAACAGTGTTGTAATATTTCGAAGCGACGTTTCAAAACATTAAAGCAAATATGACACGCGTCTACAGGATTCACAATCTCAGTCCACCCATCCCTTTATATGCCTTTGATTACTTTGTATGACGGACATATTTCACAGCAGTCTGTTTCCCAGATAAGTAGTTCATCATTATTGTATTTCCTTTCAACTACGTCTCTTTCTTCTCGAATTTCCATCTGGTTGGTGATAGGAGTGACGTTTGATGTATAATGGATAAACTATTTCCGAGGTAAGTTGCGATATATGTTTTACATTACAGGTAAAAATAATGATGATAATTTCTTTGATTAAATAATATTAATAGACAGTGGGTTTGGCAGAAGTGCCCGCCTGCGTTTAATTTATAGTCTATAGAAATGAGCTATTTCAGAACAAGCATCGCCAATATTTCAAGACACACGTGCCCGAATGGAAATAAAATATATAAAAAAAACGAATACAAATTAAAATGCAAATATATATATATATATATATATATATATATATATATATATATATATATATATATATATATATTGATTTATGTTTCATTAAATAATATAGACAAGTTTTGTCTATTTATTTTACGTAAATTCTTTTCATTAAGTCTGATAATCTTAATAACATTATCATTAAAAGAAGAAAGACAATCACAATATTGTTACATATTTTTTTAATCCTATCTAAGCTTTCGGCTTGCATAAGCCATTATCAAAGATGACAATTACATTACAATATATTAAACAATACACGGACAAAACAATAATGATAGTCTGTTTAATGTTTACATGGAAGATTTCCAAGCAACGACAAACTCTATATTATTTAATGAAACAGGCATCAATGAAAAATGCTGCCTAAATACACACACAATATATATATATATATATATATATATATATATATATATATATATAGATAGATAGATAGATAGATAGATAGATAGATAGATAGGGAGATTAAAGACAGCAGACAAGGTACTACGATTAAGGCTTTTATTTTCTTATGTTCGTGATCAAACAGAGTTCATAAATAATTCCATCGGTCACACTACTACATCCCTATCCAGACTCCTTACGTTACACCTATCTGACCACAGCTCTATTAGAGACCATTTAAACGCACACACGCAAACTTACCAGACTCCATCCGAAACATACTAGTAGAAAATACAATCATAATAACCTCAAGCCACATGCAAAAAAGATTAAAAATAATGAAAGCCTTAATAACAAAAAAAAAAAAAAAGTCAACAATTAATAATGCTAACAACGAACACGTCCACAATGTGATGTGTTCGGAACATAAAATATCACTATAAGACTAAATACATACACACAATCTACACACCCAAAATAATTGAAAAAATAAAATCATCATTGATAATGACTAAAAGTAAAGTTGAAAGCGCCCACAATTACAAAAGATTTGGACAGGTATCTACACACTGAAGCTAACACTTGTTCGAACACAAGAAAAATTAAATAAAAAGCTTAATCGTAGTACCTTGTCTTTCGTCTTTAATGAAACACACACATATATAGATATATATATGCGTGTGTGTGTGTTTGTGTGCGTGTGAGTGTATGTTTCTGTGTGTGCATATATATATATATATATATATATATATATATATATATATATATATATATATATATTTTGGGGGCGGATGTGTGTGTATATATATATATATATGTGCGTGTTTGTGTGTGAGTGTGTGCACATAGCATGAGTGAGGGTATAACCTTAATGTCTAACGATCCACAACTTGTGACTGATGCTGTCAAATGAAAACGCGTATAGAAGTATGAATTCAGATACAAAAAAAGAAAGACTGTGACCCTTTAAAACAGCTGTATGTTAATGATAGATCGCCTAAATTGACAGGATATACGCCACTAAAAACGAAGAAGAGAAAATATAAATAGAAAAATGAGAGAGTTACAAAGAGAAAAAGTAAGAAAGAAAGTTACAAAGAGTAAAAAAGGAAAGAAAGTTACAAAGACAGAATGTAATGGAAAGAAAGAAGATAAAAGAAAAAGGATAATGAAATGTAGATGAAGGGCGAAAGAAAGAGAAAAGAAAATGAAAGAAACTTAAAAAAGAAGAAAAATGGAAGAAAGGAAAAGGAAGGGAAAGAAACATAATAATAAAAAAATTAATAATATGATAAGAAAAAAACACCAAATGGGGAAGAATGCTCTTGATTAAATGTACCTGATAAGAAATAATGATCATTGTAGAGAATTGAGAATATAAACCTTTAGAGAAAACATTGTGAAAAATTTAAATATCGGAAGATCACAGAAAGAAAGGACTCCATTTAAAAGAAATAAAATGAGGGAAAATATAAACTACTTTGAAAACAAACTATAAACACCGCTTCCTTTATAACTGCTTACATTTGAATGCACATCTAAAAAAAATATATATTTTTTTTTATCCCCAACCCCAAAGTGTTCAATCAGATCTCCTGCGTTTTATAAATGAAGTTAGCTCATTCAATAGGCTAATCTTTACACCAGAAATAAAGTCAACCAGTGTTTGCGTCTAACCTGTTTCAGGATTTTTAATCAAGAATAATTACCAAGAGATAAAATAAAACTTACCGACTTACCATAATTCAATTTTATCTCACTTTTAACTAATATTTTAATAAATAAAAATTTGAATTATCGATGCATATTGCCTATTAGTTGTATTTTAGCTTGTTTGTTCTTTTAGTTTCATGAAACTGTTCCATTTTGAAATATTTTTTAAAACAATAAGCTCATGCCAATATATAGATTATAAGTTATTAATATAACTCCTCAAAACATTATCTTAGGCCATAGATAAACTAAACAAAGTTGAACGTACGATAGAATTTATTTATAAAACTGAAACAAAAATAATATATTACTTTTCCTTGATATCATGTTAAACTGCGTAGTAACTGATCTTGAACTATGTGTCTATCATAAGTCTACTAAGAATGATGAGTAGAAATACATTGAAAATATATTTAAGCTAACATGAGAATTATTTCATATTTAACACGAAACAGGGATCTCATCAAAATTTAAAAAATAAAATAATGAACGAAACAAACTTAACTTTCTTTTTTTTCAAATTTTATATATATTAAGAAAATTTTCTACAAATATTCCGACTGGACATATATGAATATAACAATATTCATGAAATGAAATTATACCCGATATGGATTTTGAAGGTGTTTTCTATATTTATCATTGACACAAAGAATAAAGTAAAAGCTAAATCCTAAAACAGGATAAAAGCTTAAAATATTAAATAATCCGAGTTCTCATTGCCAAAAGCAACAGAGCCTAAATATATTTTAATAACGTCATTCATCAAATAAAGTAATAAGCAGCTCCTTAAAGTTTTGGTATAATAACAATGGGATAATATATATATATATATATATATATATATATATATATATATATATATATATATATATATATATATATATATATATATATATATATATATGGTGAATTTTCCATGTCGTATTCGACGTATGCTCATTCAAAAACCTCGGTTCTAAGGAATGATATTAAAAACACCAGCAAATATGATTTGATTATAATGGTGAAGGCTGTGTGCAGAACCAACCACACTTTTTGAATGGCCGAAAACAGAAAAAAAAAAATAACCACAAGGTCAATCAAGTTTCCCTTCTCCTAGGCTAGTTAGCATTCAAATTATAGAACGCAGTCTGTCCTGATATTTACCCATAGCGAAAGGGAGAAGTGGATTTATACCGTTAAAAGGCTACATATATATATATATATATATATATATATATATATATATATATATATATATATCATTATTATTCATTTTTTCATTTGGAACTATCTATGGTTTGTGTTGTAAATATCTACATATAACAAGGAGAGATTTTCGAAAAATTCATGCATGTTTTCGAATGGATGATTCGCTTTGACGAAGCAAGTTGGAAAATAATTTGGTAGTGAATAAAATTTAACAAATAAACATAAATAATTGAATAAATGATTTGCTGACAGTAGGGCACTTTTCATTCGGAGATATTTCTTTGATCGACACCTGTGTAAATTTATCTGCTTGTTTGGATTGGTTCGCATCAAAGATAATTATGCGCCGGTTAAGGAGCTGAAAGGGCAAATTGATTCTTAGAATGTATTTAATAAGAACAATATGTTGAATTTTTTTTTAAACGGACTTTCACTTCTATGTGTCTTACTTGTGTTGTCGTACGTGATATGGGACAGGACAAAATATTTGTATATAATTTTATAATATATATATATATTTATATATATATATATATATATATATATAATTATATATATATTTCGAACTGAATTTGTGGAATTTATGCATGTGTTGCTCTCCGCATTTGTACGTGTGAATGCAGAGTACAGATCGTCTGTACATGTTCCTGATTCTGTGTGTGGCACTAAAAATAAAATTTTATGTTTTTGTCATTGTTCCATGGCATAAAACTGAGTGAACAATTGCATGAGATAATAGTCCTCTTGTTTATGGTGTCTAATATTTAAATAATCAAACCAAAAAATGTTTCTATCATAACGTAATGAT